GGCAGGAGACTCGCTTGAGCCCAGGAGTTGGAGGTTGCTGTGAGCTGTGATGCCACAGCACTCTAACCAGGGGGATAGCTTGAGGCTCTGTCTCAAAAACAAAAACAAAAACAAAACCAACTGGCTGGGCTTGGTGGCTCATGCCTATAATCCTAGCACTCTAGGAGGCTAAGGTTGGTGGATTGCTCAAATTCAAGACTAGCCTGAGCAAGAGACCCCCACATCTAAAAATAGCCAGGTGTTGTGGTGGGTGCCTGTATTCCTAGCTACTTCAGCAGGAGGATCTCTTGAGCCCAAGATTGTTTTGTTTTGAGACTGAGTCTCAAGTTGTCACTCTGGGTAGAGTGCCATGGCATCATAGCTCATCGCAACCTCAAACTCTTGGGCTCAAGCAATCCTCTTGCCTCAGTTTTTTCGTTTTTAGTAGAGACAGGGTCTCAGTCTTGCTCAAGCTGGTCTTGAACTTTCGAGCTCAAGCAATCCACCTGTCTCAGCCTCCCAGAGTTCTAGGATTAGAGGAGTGAGCCACTATGGAGGAGCGAGACATCATGCCTCACCAGAGTGCAAGAGTTTGAGGTTGCTGTGAGCTATGATGACCCTACAGCACTCTACTCAGGGAAGCAAAGTGAGACTCTATTTTTTTTTAAACAGTCTCATTAGGTCACCCTCAGTAGACTGCTGTGGTGTCATAGTTCATAGCAACCTCAAACTCTAGGGCATATGGGATTCTCCTGCCTCAGCCTCCCAAGTAGATGGGACTACAGGAGGCCGCCATAATGTCTGGCTATTTTTCTTTTTATTTGTTGTTGTTTTTATTTTGTTGTTATTGTTGCAATTTGGCTGGGGGCGGGTTTGTACACACCACCCTTGGTATATGGGGCTGGCGCCCTACCCACTGAGCCACAGGCGCTGCCCTGTTGTTGTTTTAATTGGTGTTTAGCAGGCTGGGTTCGAACCCACCAGCCCTGGTGCATGTGGCCGGCGCCCTAATCACTGAGTAACAGGCACTGAGCTAAACTTACACTTTAATATCCTACTCTTTTTTTTTGAGACAGAGTCTCAAGCTCTTGCCCTGGGTAGAATGCAGAGGCATCACAGCTCATAGCAACCTCAAACTCTTGGGCTTAAGTGATATTCTTGCCTCAGCCTTCCAAGAAGCTAGGACTGCAGGAGACACCCACAACACCTGGCTTTTTGGGGCAGTTGTCACTGTGTTAGTTGGCCAGGGTCAGTTCAAACTCTCCATCCTAAGTGTCTGTGGCCACTGACATACCTACTAAGCTATAGGCACCGCCCCCATTTTTCCTTTTTCCACTGGGAGTTATCACTTTGTCACCCTAGGTAGAGTACTATGGCATCTTAGCTTAAAGCAATCTCAAACTCTTGGGCTCAAGTGATCTTTTTTGGCTCACTCTCCTAAGTAGCTGGGACTACAGGTGCCCACCACAATGCCCAGCTATTTTCTTTTTAGAGACAGGGTCTTGCTGTTGTTCAGGCTGTTTTCAAACTTCTGAGCTCAAGTGATCCACCCACATTGGCCTCCCAGAGTGCTAGGATTACAGGCTGCGTCACCATGCCCGGCCTCATATCCTAATCTTGTCCTAGAGAAATTATTTTCTCATCCGAGGTACAGAACATCAAGTGTTTCCAATTTATTAGTAGAAATAACCTTTTCCCTTGATCTTATCAACAGCATAAATATCTGGCTTGGTTCGCATAGAACAGTGGTAACAGCGCCAGCCAGGTATACCGAGGCTGGTGGATTCAAAACCAGCCCAGGTCTGCTAAACAACGACAACTGCAACAAAAATTAGCCAGGCATTGTGGTGGGCACCTGCAGTCCCAGCTACTGGGAGGCTGAGACAAGAGAATCGCTCAAGCCCAGGAATTTGAGGTTGCTATGAACTATGATGCCGGGGTACTCTACCACGGGGAACATAGTGAGACTATCGGAAAAAAAAAAGGAAAAACCACAAATATCACTCTCTTGGGATTGATTTCATTGCCAACAATATCTTTATACATATAATCTTAGTTTCCAGGTTCCAAGACAGTGGTTCTCAACCTGTGGGTCATGACCCCTTTGGGGGTTGGCTAAATACATCATGCATATCAGATATTTACATTATGATTCATAACAGTAACAAAATTATAGTTATGAAGTAGCCACAAAAATAATTTTCTTTTTTTTTTTTTTT